TGTTCCTCCTTCTTCAGCAGAGCATCTGGTAGATTTGAACCGTGCACCTCTGGGATTGCAGTGCAGTTTCCTGCCACTAGGCCACCAGAGCTCGCCCACAAATGTCTTTTATGAGAAACTCAAAAGGTGACTTTACACATGGTTCTCACCAGGTGGATGGCATAGGAATCAGATTGATTTCCTTTTACTAGACTAAGACATTTAGTCTTTACTATAGAATACATTGAGGGCTCAATAAACAAACTGCAGAACCAGATGACCATAAATGCTCTTTTGAAATGAAGATGTGCAAAAGAGAATACATAAGACTACTATTTACTAATGAGTATATTTAACAGGAATATATCTTACTTATAAGATTACTGAGTCACTAATGAGAGTAGACAGAGATCTTAAACCTTGCATGGCTTTTCATGATGTTCTAAGATGCTGCTTTCACAGCATTAAGACATTTTTACTGAGTCAAATGGTGTTGGCCTTTTACCCCTTGTTGTTATGTGCCATTGAGTTGCTTGCAACTCATAGTACCTTGTCTACAACAGCTTTGAACCCTGCTCTATCTTGAGCTAACTTCATTGGCTGCATTACCCCAGTGACTGAGTCAATCTATCTCATCCAGGGTTTTCCTTTATTTCACTGTCCCTCCACTCTCCCAAACATTTTGTCTCTCTCCAAGGACTGGTCCCTCCTTGTAACATGTTCAAAGGATATCAGATAGAGCTTCAAAATCTTTGCCTCCTAGGAATAGTCTGGTTTCACCCTCTCTCTGTCAAACCTGTTTGTTCTCCTAGCAGTCCATGGTATGTTCAGTACTCTTCTCCAGCACCACAGCTCAAATACATCAATTCTCCTTCTATCATCCCTACTCATTGTCCAACTTTCTGATGCATAGAAATTAATTGCGAAGACCATGCCCTGGATCAGGCACACCTTAGTCTACAGACTGACATCGTTGCTCTTTAAAGAGAACTCTGGAGAGGTCCCTAACCAAGATTTTCCCAGTGCAATTTTTCTTATGATTTCCTGGTTGCTGGTACCAAAGGTGTTGTGGATTACTGAAGCAAACTGAAGCTGCTAATAATCTCAATCTCTTCACCATCTATCATAGTGCTGCCAATCTGACCAGTGGTGAGAATTTTTGTTTTTTTGATGTCGAGCTTCAATCCATATTGAAGACTGCAGTCTTTGACCTTTTGCAGCAAATGCCTCAGGTCATCTGCATAATGCAGGTTGTTCATGAGTCTTCCTCCAATCCTGATTGGTGTAAAAAATTAATTCGGTTACACAGAAACTAAGACCTAGTCTCAGAGATTTACTATAGTTATTTCAAAAGTAAATTAAGACATGTCAGTGAACACCTTGTAAACTTTACCACTGTCATCAGACCAAATTTGCTTCATCTTAAGTTATAGATTACACGGAGTAAAGACATTTATCAGATTGGCTTAAGTTTAAAACAAACTGCTGTGGTCTCTCAAACAATCCTGGTGGCCTAGTGGGTTAGAGTACCAACTGAAAGGTCCGTGATTTAAGTGTGTCAGCTTCTCCACAGGGAAAAAAAATCAAGGCGTATGCTCCTGTTGAGGTTACAGTCTTGAAAACCTGATAGAGGGTTGCCATGAGCTGCAATTGACTGACAATGTGCTTGGTTTAAAGCTAGGATAGGAATGTTGCTGTTAATTACTGTCATCAAGATTCTGAGTCATGTGCAAAGTAGAAGACCCTCATAGGGGTTTTAAGTCTGTGACCTTTCAGTAACAGATTATCAGGCCTGTTCTTGGAAGATTTCACCTGACAGGTTTTTGCTTGATAACTGAGTATTTCAGTGTTTGAACCAAAATAGGAACCTTATAATAGGAGTACTGTTGGGTAAATGGCAGTTTCCAAATTTTTTATATTTAATGTTTGCTCATCTACAGTAAACATTATTTGCTTATCTTTCTCTCCTTTTGGTTTCATTTAAATGTATGAGCTACTACCAAAATTCTTCATTTATAGGATGAATTTTCAAAAAACTAGAAATTTGGCAAATTTGTTTTCTTTAAATCAAGATACACAAATTTAAAACTAGCCTCTAGTCTTTAGCAATAAAACCCCAACTTTCTTAGGTCTTTCAATCATAATTATTTTCCTCTTGACAAAAGCATATCTTTAAAATAAAGTTCCTTGCTGTACAAAAATGAGAAAGAAAATAATGAAGAAAACTATTTCTAAATAGTCTTCATGCTTTGAAGTCTTTAATAAAGTCAGCTAAAATGAAAAAAAAATAGTGATTATAAGAGAGTAGGAACTATCTCTCTTTAAAAGTATGGATAGACAATTTGTCATCACAGTTGTTATGTACCAGCAAGTCAACTATGACTTATAGCAACCCAAAGGAACAGCTCTGTGCCTTGCCCTATTGATGAGCCAACTTCACCATCTCTGACATACATGACCCCACTCTCAGTCACTGTATCAATCCATTATACCTACAGTCTTCCTCTCTTGTGTTGACCTTCTACCCTTACAAGCATGATGTCCTTCTCCAAGGACTGCTTTCTCCTGACAGCATGCCCAAAGTATGTGAGGCAGAGTTTCAAAATCCTTGCCTCCAAGGAGCACTTGGTTTCATCTTCCTCCTCTCTGTTCTCTTGGCAGTCCATGGTATATTCAGTACTCTTCTCCAGCACTATAGCTCCAAGGCTTTGATTCTTCTTCTTCTGTCATCCTTGTTTCATTGTGATGTTGAGATGTAAGCCATATTGAAAGCTGTGTTCTTAGATCTTCTGTACTAAGTGCTTCAAGTCTTTCTTCACTTTCTGCTAGCAAGGTTGTGTTTGTCTCCATAATGTAGGTTGTGGATGAGTTTCTTTCTCCAATCCTGATGTCACATTCATCTTCAAAAGAACAGCTTCTCAAATTATTTGCTCCACATTCAGATTGAATAGGTATGAAGAAAGTATACAGCATTGAAGCACAGTTCATCTAATTTGAAACCATGCAGTGTTCTCTTGTTCTGTTTGGACAACAGCTTCTTAGTCTATGTAGACCTTTTGCATGAAAACAATCAAGTGTTCTGAGATTCTCAATCTTAGCCATAATTTGTTGGGACCCACACAGTCAAATGCTTTTGCATAATCTATACATCACAGTTAAACATCTTTGTGGTTTCCAATGCTTTTAGTCAAGATTCATCTTACATCAGCAATGATCCAGCTTGAATTTCAGCAAGTTCCCTGTCAATGTATAGCTCCAGCTGTTTTTAAATAATCTTCAAGAAGATTCAACTTGCATGTGATATTAATGATATTGTTCAGTAATGTCCCCAATCTGTTGGATCATTCTTCTTGGAAGTGGGACAGATTTGGATCTTTCCCAGTAAGTGTCTTCCATTTCTTTGCAGGCACTAGTGAGCATGTCTAAGCCTGCATTTGTTTCCTGAAACACCTCAATTTTCATTCTTTCAATTCCTGGGCCTTATTTTTTGCCAATACCTTCAGGGCAGCTTGGACTTCTTTCTTCAGTATTAATTGGTTCTTGATCATATGCTACTTCTTGGAATTGTTCAGGGTCAACTAATTTTTTTTTTTGGAGAGTGACTCTGTATATTCCTTCCACATTCTTTTGATGCCTTCTGCATCACTCAAGATTTTACTCATGGAATCCTTCAGTGTTGCTACTGAAGGCTTCTGTTCCATCAGCTTGAGAAATACTGAGCGTATTCTATCCTTTTGGTTTTCTGTCTCCAGCTCCTTGCACAGTTCGAATGCTGCCTTTTGAAATCTTCTGTTCAAATCTGTTACCTCAGCATTTCTTCTCTTTTTTCCCCTTCTTTCCAGTGCAAGTTTCAGAGTCTCTTCTGACATCCATTTTGGTCTTCTCTTTGTAATAACCTTTATTTCTTCATGGATGATGTACTTGGTGTCATTTTACCACTTGTCTTCAGTGCATCAAATCTGTTCTGAAAATGGACTCTAGATTTATTTAGCATACACTCAAGGACATATTCTAGTTCTCATGGGCTTCTTTTCATTTCTTCAACTTAAATTTGAACTTGCACATGAGTTAAGTTGATGGCCTTTCCAGTCAGCCCCTGGCAGCGTGCTTTGGACTGCTGATGTTGAGCTTCCCCAGCATCTCTTTCCACAGGTATAATCAGTCTGCTTCCTGTGCAATTGAGTAAATTATAAATATTAGTATGATACATTATAGATATCAAGTAATACTTCAATTTGGAAGTTATGCAGATATAATTAAAATTAAAAGAGTTCTTTCAGTAGTCCCAAATAAATACAATATTTGAGAAATATAAAGTGGTGGTAGAGAAGGATAAAAAAAGTACTTTCCAGATTCTTGAAGAAAAAAACTTGTTTGTATAGAAGAAATAGGTGAATTAAGATGGAACTTGGGCAGAATCAGTCATCCAGATTTGATGTACTAGAAGGGCTTAACTATGTGTAAGAGTAATAAAAGTAACACAAGAAGGTAGCATTGAGATGTACACAACTTTCCCTTTTAAAAATTATTAGTCTTTAACTATTTCAATTTGTTTCTTTTCCAGGTACATGTCACCTGCTAAAATAGGAGAAGATATATTGATTACAGCACATATTCTGAAGCAAGGAAAAACACTTGCCTTTGCCTCTGTGGATTTGACGAACAAGGCCACAGGAAAAATAATAGCACAAGGCAGACACACAAAACATCTGGGAAACTAGAAGTCTAACCTAAAGAAACACAACAAATTAATATCAAGTATAAATTTGACTTTTAATTTTGAAAATAAATTAGCACAACCAGAAAAATACCTAATAAATATTCTCTCTGGGGAAAATGATATAGATTGTAAGAAGGTCCTATTTTTTATTAACATTTTAAGCCTCTTCAGTTTTATTTTTAAATCATGTATATTACCTGGATGAAAAAACTCTTAAAATGTTCTATAAATTTAAGTAAAGCAAAAAACCCAGCAGAGTCATTTTATATCATGTTAAAACTCAAAACCAGTTAAGTCTTCATACATGCTAAATAGTGAATGGAACGTGAATATATGTGAATCAGAAGAAGCCAATAAGAAAAGGAAAATACAGTGTCTGACTTAAAAAGATAATGTTTATTCATAGTTACCAGGGAAGGGGAGGAATAGGCAATTAGCGATGATAAAATATTTGTGTTAAAGGTAGAATTGCAGAGCTGATTGATGTAATAGCTGCTGCTTAGTTATACATCTATAAAAAATTGAACTGGCAAAAGTTGTATGGTAAGATAAGTTAGAACAATGACGCCCATCCCCAAAAAAGGTGCCTAGGCTGCTTACGTACCATGAAACAACTCACTGGATTTGGTTCTTTGGTTTGCAGGCTTAGGGTCATAGGTCACAGGACATGTCAGTCATTTGGCCTTAAAAACATGCTTTGACTCTGCCTCCCAGTTCATTGCATGATGCCTGGGGTCTTAAAAGCTTGCAGCCTACCATAGAAGGAACAGTTGGTCTCTGTTCATCTAAAGCAACAGAGGAAGAGGGAAAAGTATATGGTATGTATATTAATTGCCTCCATGAACAACTGCTTCCTTTGCCATGAGATCAAACTAGTTAATTTCTTGCTACTATTGCTGTACATTTTTATCAAAGCTTGTATATAAGAACCTTAATAAAAAGAAAATAAAAATATATTTGCAAATGTTCAGACTTCACACTTTCTGGAGCAAGGGTGAAGAACCTCTGAAATTAATTGTGTTGACAAAGTCTTTAAATTAGAAATACCACTGAAATAATCTTGAAACCTAGCAATAGTTCAGCTTAACTAATAAAAAAAAATGTCTACTTTGACATACTCTTTTAATAATAACTATCAAGTTTACAACAGCAGCTGCAAAGGAACCTCAGAAGGTGGTTAATGACTGAGGAACAGCTCAGAAATGAGAATTGTTGCACACCTGCAACTCAGTCACTGAAATGTACATGTAGAAACTGTTGAATTGGTTTGTTGTGTATACAGCTGTTGGATCCAATTCATAATAACCCTCCCTTAGGCTGTATATCTAATGGGAAGAAACTGCTCAACTTTTCTTCTGGTAGATTTGAACCAAGCACCTATACCTATTACACTGTTGTTATGTACCACTGAGTCAGATCAATACATAGCTGACCCTCCAGTGGATTTTCAGAGGCAATTAATCATAAGGGAGGAATCTGACCATCCTTCTTCATGGAGCAGCTGGTGGATTTGAAACGTGTAGCTTCAGAATTGCAGCGCAGCTTCTTGCCACTTGGTCACCAGAACTCCCTATCCCACCACTATAGTTCCTATTTTCAGTAACAAAATATAATATTCAAAGTTCCAATATTAAAGGAAAAACCCTTACTAATACATACTAATTTTAAGAACTAATTAACAAATTTAAGCTCTAAAGTGCCACTTTACTGGTTTTTGGTTTTGTTTTGCTGTTTTTTTTTAATTTAGGTTGTTTATTTTTTCATTTCAATGAACATTACAGAGATTTTGGGATTCCATTCATTCATTGTTACACCCTTCTCCCCGCACAAACCCCTCCCCCCTCCCCCCCCATTTGCTCCTCTCCTTGAAAAGCAA